TGAGACACACCAAACCTACTAATAGGTAACAGGACATCTCCCGCCCTACAAAATCCATGCATACACTCAGAGAAAAAACCCTCACAACATGTTAGAAAAAACATATAGATGTCTGAGAAGCACTCGATTGTGGTTGCCTTAGAGTACTCGTCTCTCATCAAACACAATGAAACCAACACAAATTGCTAAACTCAGGACTTTGATTTCTCATGGAGCTTTTCAAAAAAGCTTTCCTTTTCCTGTCTTTTCAATATGAGGGATAAAATCAAAGACAACACAGAAGAAAAGCACAGGCACCAGTATCTTCTTTCTCCTCATCTGTGTTTGTGGATAACGTTGCCTTATTTGTGGGTAGTGTTGTTGATCATCAAGCTCTAACATAGCTCTGGAGGGAATAATCATGTCCTGGCAGAAGGCTGTCCAAAATGACCCATTAGAGTTCCAACTACGGGAGTCTTGGAGGCCGATGATTTGAATCTCATGATTCAGAACTGCAGGAGATATGGCTCATTTCAGTAGTCACAGAAAATATTCACTCTCTCTAGTCATGTAGGTTCTTATACAAGCCTAGTGACCAGAATACTCAAGTGCTTTTGTTGTTTGCAAGCAGTTAGGCCCAGGAAGATTTGTTGTATGTATCTTTGCATTTGGTTCATTTTGCATATTCACCAAATACGAAGAAATGTAAATGAGTGGCATGATCTCAGAAAGTTAATCTATATAATTATAAACAATGGATAAATTTCACTAGGGAAAAAAATAGAAAAGGAAATGTTTGAAAAATTGAGGAAGACAGACTATCTCTTGTAGTCTGGTCTAAGAGCAATCTAGCTGGAATTTGCCACTGAATGGATCTATCATTTCATGCCTGCCTACTCCTTGGCAAGGCTGAAAAATGTCCATGGGCTTCTGTCAGTTAATCTCCTCTTATTCAGAACTGCATCATCATCCAAAGGTAATCACCTATTTCTGTGCCTCTAGTACCCTCCCTGAACAGTTTAAGTGTCTCTTCACTGAGCCCACAGGCTACTCTTTTATCAACAGTTTATTAGTGTCCTACCCTGCCTTTTTTTTTTTCCGTCTGAGATCACAACGCCTGCACAGAGATTTATAAGAAAACATGGCAATATTTTGGACATATCCTCACTTCTCCTCATATAACTGTAAATCACCAGATATGTTCTAGACCTATGGTATCAATGAAGATACAGGGATAATACTATCTTTGAATCCCTAATGACATTAATCACTTTTCACCACAAAATACAGATGCCTGACTCCCATTTGACATCAGTTAGTACATACTATAAGTTTGCATATCCTCAAGGGGAGACTGGGCAAGGCCACAGAACAGAAAATGTATACAGGGTTTTTAAATCATTTGGAACTACATCCATTTCAGGAAATTTTTCAGCCATGAATAGCTGAAAGCTGGGAGAATACTTAAGGGGAGGCATCAGATATGCAAGGCAGTTCTCTACTCTTCCCTGCATACCCACTTATGGCTATTGCTGGAGCCAGGATATTGGACTACACTGACCTTTGTTCTGAACCAGTATGCCTCTTATGTTCTTATTATGTTCTTATGTTAAGCAGGAAAAGAATTTAGCCTCTGGATAACACCCGGTTGTGCCTGAATTCAGCAGCAAAATTCCTTTTCTCTTCATTGTTTCAGATTTGAGAAATTAATTAAAAAAAAAAAAGTGTGCACACCAATATATGAAGTTGTGCTGGCACAGACATAGAAGATTAATTTTTCTATAATTAAGAACCTCACAGGACTTTTTTTATCTACATGGGTAGGGATTTTTTTCACCCTGAAAAACATGTGAGCCAACAAGCTCCCAACTCCAGTAAAATTCACCATGATGAAGGTACTTTAAACAGGTCTCTGCACCATCAACAGCAAGAATTTCTGAATCTGAAGTCTCACGAGATTTTAAGAAGAAAAGTTCTGTTTATAGCCTTGCAAACTTACCAGAAAATGTATGGCTTCTTAGGTCTTGAGATCCAGACTCTGGACTCATCCAGACATCTGCAATTTTGTTGCAATTCATACAGTGGTATTGCTGGTTTATAATGTTCCTTTGAATTATGTAATTTTATAATTACATGATTTTAATGCTGCCTATTCAGATGGAGCTTCAGCCCCCTTCATCACTGAAATCCTTTGGAAAAGCATAATGAGTTTTGGAAATACTTTCAATCTCTCAGTGATTATCAAATTTGATTTTCTCACTGCCTACAACAAATTCTCTTCCACAGATTCTACATGGAAAGATAAGAATTTAGGTATTTCTGGAAGTCAAGGTGTGGTGGTTTGTCCCTGGCTGGACACCAGGTACCCACCAAAGGTGCTCTATCACTCCCTTCTTCAACTGGACAGAGGAGAGAAAATACGATAAAGGGTTCATGAGTTATTAATTTCATTTATTACTAACAAAATCAGAGCAAGATAATGAAACGTAAAATAAATCTTAAAAACACCTTCCCATCACCCTTCCCTTATTCCTAAGTTCTACCTCCTCCCCCCAAGGAGATGGGGAATAGAGGTTATGGTCAGTCCATCACAGGTTGTTTCTGACACTGTTCAGAGAGAGGAGTCCTTCCCCTGCTCCACTGTGGAGACAGTTCTCCATGAACTGCTGCAATATGGGTCACTTTTCCACTGTTGGTGCAGTCCTTCAGGCACAGGTGCTTCAGCATGGGTCCCCCACAGGGCCACAGGTCCTACCAGGAAAACCTGCTCCAGTGTGGGCTCCTCTCCCCATGGGTCAGCAGGTCCCTGCCAGGACCCTACTCCATTATGGGCCTCCCACAGGCTCACAGCCTCCTTTGGGCATCCACCTGCTCCAGCGTGGGTTTCCTCCATGGGCTGCACATGGATGTCTGTATCCCCATGGTCCTCCATGGGCTGCAGGGCACAGCTGTCTCACCATGGTCTTCACCACAGGCTGCAGCTCTGGTGCCTGGAGCACCTCCTCCCCCTCCTTCTCCACTGACCTTGGTGTCTGCAGAGTTGTTCACATATTCTCACTCTGCTCTTCTCTGGCTGCAGTTTTTATCTGTGCAATAACTTTTTTCCTTCTTAAAAATTTTATCACAGAGGTGTTACTATCACTCCTAATTGGCTCAGCCCTGGCCAGGAGTGGGTCTGTCCTGGAGCCATCTCTCATTGACTCTGCTGGACATGGAGGAAGCTTCTGGCAGCTTCTCACAGAAGCCACCTCTGTATCCTCCACACTACCAAAACCTGGCCACACAAACCCAATACACAAGGTCTAAATAAGCACTGTGAATAAAAACTGGGCTATGTTGAAGACAATAAGAATTTGCATTCGGGGGTCAGAATGCCTTACAGCAGGTTTTAAAAAGATACAGGAAAAGTGCAACAGGAACCGCACAAACCTTATTTGCAAGACAGGGAATTCTGGGTTGTATGTTAAAATGGACATGCAGACATTGATTTTTACCAGAAACATATCAGGAATTTTATTTCCTCCACATATCACAGTTTGAAGCTGGAAAGCAATCTTGCATAGTTTCTAATTTAGGTGGAACTATACAAGCTAAAGTGAAATCAGACAAAATCATAAGTAACAGCAGCAAAACAGAAGAGTCTTAATTCTAAGTGGTTCTGGTCTTGGCATAAGAATAAGGAAATTAGAACATGATGAATATTAATATTTATATTGCCTGTGCATCAAGAGGTAAAACATCTCAGAAAAGCTACCTCTGCTGTGTATATCCACCTTTTATTCTTTGAAGTTTTGTTATACAAACAGTAGTTAGATAAATATACACATGGAGCTCAAAAAGCTACAGTATTTCACAATGTCACATCTAGTGAGGGATTCTTTTGATTTTTTTTTCCAGACCTGTTCATGTGCACAATTTCCTTATGCCTCATTTACTACAAAAATATCGGTCGATGAACAATGAATAACTAGACATATTTCATTGTATAACTGAGAGTGAACTGTCTTTTTAGGTTTGTCTTTGTTTCCCAAGCCCATGCATCTTAACTTTCATAATGCCTGTTTACATCAATAAAGTCAATTTATTTACTGAATTGTATTTGAGTAATTATTTATTCATACTTCAATCATTAGAAAGCCAGAAATTTACTATAGTCAAGAAATTTACTATAGTAAATTTGTGAAAAAAGTTTCACAGAAACTTCAAATGTATGAATGTGTTCTGCTCTGATTTCAAGACGTCTAATTTTGAGCACGTGGGTAGGATTGCTCTTCTATTCTAGATGCTACCTAGAGCACCTTCTGAACTGGAGGCGTAAATACATGAGGTGGTGATGGAGATTGTTTCAGTTTTTGCAAGTCTACAATGTCTGTCACCTCCTCCACGACAGGCTTAATATAAATGTAAAGTTTATATGAACAAATTTAAATGATTTATAGAAAACCCAAAGACAAAACACACATGTACAAAAAGTATAATTCAGAACAGATAATTTTTATGTTTTTAGAAAGTAATACAATGTTAAAACAAGTCCATATCCAGTTATTTTATTCTTGTTAAGGTCATCCCATTAAACAACCCCCCAAAGAGAATTATCAATATTGTCTAGCACTATAAACTAACAAAATTAATCAGAATGGGAATAAGCGTTTCGCATGGCAGAGAAAATAGAGTGATACCAAATGTTGGCTGCTGTTATTGACCAAGTCAGCAGGTAAAGCCTACTTGTGGGTTAAATGTCTGGATGCAGGTAGCATTTACATTGAAGACAGATGATTTTACTGTTGCAATCATAGCCATTTCTTGGAAAAATATAACAAAAATGAGCAGGTCATTCACCAGGGATTGCTGGTGAATGTCACTAAGGTACTACTTGGAGCAATATTTTGTTTTCTTTGCAGAAGTTCTCTCAGACATTGTAAAAGTACCTGCCCCATGTTTGATATCCAGTAAGTAACAGGGAAATTTAGAGTTTCTTGAAGGACTTCTCACGCCCAGTACCATTTCCATTCTGGTTGAAAGAGTGGAATACTTTACCTGGCAAATGCATAACAACTCACTTGTGGAACTTCATGTAGGTGAGGTACAGTTAGATGCTATAGAAGGGAATGAGAAGTATGATTTGGCTTGCTGTTTGTCAATAAAGATGAGCCCTTCGTTATTTGTGTTGGCAGCCTGGCTGTATGGTTAGGTTTTAAGCTAGTGGAAAACTTGGAAAGAGCAAAGGAAAGCTGAACATCTTTACAATCATTCCTGGCCTTAAAATAGCAGTTCCTGTCCTTAGCTCTGTGAGGCAAGTTCTTCTCCCTAGCACAAACTTCATTACTATTCTGTATACCTTCATCATCCCCAATTCCAAGCAGTCTACGTAGTCAGAAACCAAAATTGTTGCAGTATGACAGGTCTGCAAAACAGTTTGTCTCACTGGGATCTGTGTTGACCACCAACCGCTTTCTTGATGGCATTTAAGGTTGTTGACTTAAAGCCGTGCTGGCAATTTATCAGTGGGGGGGTGGAGTGGGAGGTACCTTTCTGTCCCTGTTAACGAGACAGGATATAGTGTGCTCGATAACATGTGAAAGGGTAACTTGGTGCTGCCTGTGTTGCTTCTTATCAACACGGTGACTGCATCCACCCTAAGAGCCCTAAGTGGCATTCTGCTTGTGAAGAAGTTGTCTCCCTCCTGTTTAAATGGAGCAGTGGTAAATTAGTGAGGATGCTTAACCTGAAGGAGGATATGAGATTCAGAATGTGGAGTCAAAAATTCTTGCCCTCTAGAGCAGATGCCCAGAGCCAATAAAAGCCACAAAGAAAATCAAAGATACATTTTTCAGAGGTTTTAGAGTTCTCATATTATGAGGGGTTTTAAAATTCCAGCCAAGACCAAAATGCCCAAATATGTTTTAGGTTTGGACCACCAAAATTAAAAAGAGAAAGTAAATTTTACTTTCAGTTAGTTAAGAGGCTTAATTAAAAATAAATTTTTAATTTTTACTTCATTCTACAGTACTTAAGACAATATTTAAAGACATTCAAAAGAGAAAGGGTTGGAAAGAGGAAAGTGAAAAGACTGTATTCACAAAGACATCAAAACAAGGTATTTTGACAATGCCAGGAAATCTTAATTAATTTTTTTTTCAAGTTCTAAGTAACCGACTTGATTTCACACAGCATTTTGATTTTCACTAATTGCATTTACTTTAGTCACACAATACAAAGACTGGACAGAAGGATGGACCAATGCATACATATCAAGTTAATTATTGTTTTATTTTAACCTATTCTATCAGCAGCTCACCTCCAGGTAAAACTGTGTTGTGCAGAAATACTCAGTGGAAGAAAGTATGCCATAGAAAGTGGGAGGAGGGAAGTGGAAAAATAGCCTTATGATGAAACAGATGGAATGAAAACATTTGGCAAACATCAGTGGTGAGCTATTTTTTGATATAGCTGTTTAGGTTTCTCTAGTATGAAAAGCCAAATGGCTAATATCTACTTGTGCACATTGAAATTAACATATACGCATCAAAAAAGCATTGCACTGAGGTTTTTAACTGAAAAAAGAATCTAACTAAAGCTAGCACTGTCAAACTATGAGAGGTCCATCATCCTGCTGTCCCCATCCAAACATGTGCACTTCACCCTTCCCTCCTTGCCATTTCTCTTTCTAGTTTTCTCCGCATAGCACAAGCACACTGGAAGGGCTGGGGGTTCTCTCAGTGGCTGGGACCAGAGCTTTTCCACCAGCACACCTAATAACTACAAGCTATTCAGTATATGAAAGAACCACCATAGGAGGACAGATAGTGGGAAAAGAAAAACAAATCTGACCTGGGAACTCTACATTATTTCCATGGAAGTCTTCTTTCTGCCTGGTATCAGACATTGGGAGTGAGAGCTGTGGTGACTTCTTTGACACCAGGAAGTATTCTTGAACTGCTGAGAACAGAAATAAAAAGCCAGTTATAATAAAGAGATTTGTAGATATAAAATATTAAAATCAAACATCTATCACAAGAATATGGGGGAAACCATCAGGAAGGGGGAAAGGTAGAGAAATTAGAGGGAGGTAAAGGAAACTACAGTAATGTGTCACTGTGTTTGGCATCTCTATGCTTTGACTAGCACAGCATAATTAAAGGATATTAAAGGCCTTTATGTTTCTATCACAGCAGTGCAAAATTTAAAACAATAAACTGCTTTTTCATAACACCAAACTACCTTCCTCACTCTCCTCATTCCCACCTCTGAAATTCTGCTTGAGTTCATCTTCACCTTGACCTTGCTTCTGCTGAAATCCTTGTTCACGTCTTAATCACTTCACATCTTGAATACTGAAATTCCTTCAATGGCCTGTCTAAATCCCAACTCTCTCTAAATGTCAAGAGGTCCAGAATGGTGCAGTCAGATTGTTTGCTTGCTCCATGCATGGATAAACAATATGATAGAAGATGTGTTTATGTAGTAAAATTGAGAAGCTGCAATAGAAGAGTGAGTTGTTTGTATATAGAACAGGAATGGCAGACAACAGACATAGAGCAGCTAGAAATTGGCTAATATTCTCAGACACTACTGTGACACACACCAACAATAAAATATTTGTTTACTACAATATAAATAGCACCAAGATGAAGAAACCCGGAAATCTCAGGCTTCTCTAATTTTGCAGACAACAAACATCTACTGAGTGCCTTTGCCTCCCACAACATTTGCCTCCCAAAACAGTAGCACACATTTGGTATCAAAATAGGCTCCAAGATCTTCAAAAACACAGTGCAACCACCATATAGGAAAAGACTTTTTCTCTTTGCAGTCAAGGAGACAGCCAGCTCTTCAGGCTTGCTTGTTCAGCCAAAAGCTACCACTCGGCATTTTGCTAACTATGAAAAACAAGTGTAAAGAAATTGCTTGCTACCAGAAGCTAGAGCAGACGTGTCTTATGTCAGATCAGGCTGTTTCACAGTCATGTAGGATCTTAAAAATCAGCTGCTTCAGACAGATTTATTATATAAGTTTTCTTGCTTTTCTGGGAATTTTCTTAGTTGTTCTGCACTAAAAGAAAGAAATGAAGTATACAGTTGTTAAGAAAGTTCAGATGCCTGTAGCCTTGCTTGAATCTGAGGAAACACTGTGGATACCTGACTTCTCTGGAATCAGGGAAAATAGCTGTCTAATATTGTCTTGAATACCTGAAGTAGAATAGGTTTTTATCCCGTATTTATCATTATACACCCAGCAGCAAAACTGCTATGAGGCAAGCATGACACCAGCCTTCTTTTCTTAAGTCATCCTGGCTTTTAAAATGCCTTTGATAGAACCTGCAAGTAACATTAACTAAAAACCCTGAGATTAGTTCAAGTGGTTAGAGCATGGTGCTTACAGCACCAAAGTTGTGGGTTTTGATCCCTGTATGGGCCATTCACTGGAGTTGGACTCAATGATCCTTGTGGATCCCTTCCTACTCAAAAGGTTTTGTGATCACTGGGCATGACACTCTAAGGTGTGGAATATCTTGACTACATTAAGAAAAAATGCCAAAAGTGATAATTTAACCCATGAATGCAAAAGATGCCTCATCCACTGTTTTTGTATACTCTAGAATCATATTCAGTTTTGTAAGAAAATATTTTCCTCACCTGAATGGCAAATAAAAGTCTTCAAAGTAACAAATCCCTCCCTGGTAAAGTAAAACATGTCAAGAATGCTTACAAAACAATGAATCAAAACAGCATATTAAAATAAAATATTTCATTTCAGTTTTGATAATTTATTTTTTTTTCTGTATTATTGGTTCAAATCAGTGAAGAAAAGTTTATTTTGAGTCAAGAAGCAGAAAATTTCCAAGGCAAAAGTTCCAAGAAAATAGTTCTAGGAAGTAGTTTCAGGTTCAAAAATAACTGAAATCAACCTCTTGCTGAAAAAAAAATCACCAGCTTCCACCTCTGCTTTTCAGTTTGCTTGAAAAGAATCTCAACCAGCTGTAGCTATTTCTGCAAAAGCAGTTAGCAAATCAGTTTCTGCCCACCTGTAGCTTCTCCTTCAGACAAAATGTATAAGCGTGGAATTGGTCGTGACCTTGTTGCTGAAGATGGAGCCGAGTGCCCTAGAGCTGGTTGCAGCCTGCTTAAGCCAATTCTGAATTATTTCAGGTGCAAGATTTAACACATGCTCTAGCCCTCCCACTTAGTTTCCTCTTCTCATTAGCATATGAAGACTTGCACTAGGTGCCCACAGGCATTTTGCAAATGCAAGGATTTTCAGTTACCCATCCTCTGACAGGCATCATGTCATCTTTGTACAGCAGCTTTAGATTTGTGAATGGGGGCTTGTGCATCATTGTTGTCAGCAATGAATAACCACAGTCACTGTCTCTTTCCTGCAGAATGCTGAGCAGCATAAGCCCGTGCCCTCTTGAGTAAGCTCTGCTTTCCCTCCAACTGCGGACAGAAATTTTTTCAGTCATGGTTTTGCATCACTTACGGTGCATTTCATCAGTGCCGTTCCTACGTGTGCAAATGGAAAACCTAACGATGGAGCCAACAATATCTGAGGGATTAATATGATTTCTCATTAATGAGAACTCTGTGGCCTTTGGTATGGGATATATTTAGCCTGTTTGTTCTCTTTTTTTTGGTGAAGTATATTCTATAACCTGCTGTGATTTCTGGCCTATTGATTAATGGGTCTTTCCACCACAAGCAATCTTAATCTTTCTTAATTGCCTTAATGGCCTCATGGCCTCTCTTTTATACTCTCTGCCCACTATGTTGTTGTTGCAAATGCTTTTGTGTCTTAACTTTGTGACTATACTAAGGACTTAAAGGAAACTGACTGTGAAGTCTATTGTTGCTCTTGTTCTTTCCATTCTTTAAATTCCTTTTTCAGGTTCCTAATATCTGTAGGTAACTTCTGGATGTAAATGTGCTTATATTAAAAAACAATTGTCCAAAAATTATCTATAAAGGAGATGATTTTTTACTAAATCCACAGGATAGTTTTTCTTTTAATTCCAGAGATCTGCAGTGCAGACCAACAGATTTATGTAGCTCGTTATTCAAATCTGAAATATTAAAATTCATGGCTAGTGTTCAAACACAGTAGTGAGAGCCCCAATTCTAGAGTTTGTAGAAGACTTCAGTAAGTTTGCCCTGGAACTGTTTGCTATGCTACATAGAATAAAAGTTGATAAGTCCACACATAGATACCTGATTTGTGTCTCTGGTCTTTCCCAGGGGCTTATTTTGAAACAGAAAAGATGATGAGACAAGGAGCTCTCAGATTTTTTTACATGTCATTTAAATCTCATGGTGTCTAGGTCAGTAATGTTTGTTGGTCCCTGTTTTATTTTTGCTGTGAAACAGAAAGCCATAAGACAGACCAAGTAAATGACAGTAGTTAGTTTATTGACTTAATTTTCAACCTACTTTCTCTACATGAAGAGGTGTAATACCAGCAGAAATACACAGACCCCCTGTCATCAGCCCACGGGCTAAAGTGGAGCATTATCATACAAGGCTGACTTACACAGGGCAGACATTTGCAAGAGATATACCCACACAAGAGAATAATTGTAAGGGAGGTGTCGTTAACATCCACAAGTGACCCCGGGCACAAAAATATTTTCATACAAAGTCTACCCAGGATAAAACATTTTTCAAATGCTTCCAGGCAAGAAGGAAAAAGTTTAGGAAAGATTTCATCTAAGTGGTGACAGTAGCTTAATCCAAAGCTATTTATTTGCCTGACACTAAGTTATTCCCAGCAACTTCCAAATCTAGATCTAGTCTAGAGCCAACTGTGCAAAATCAAAGGCAAAACTGTGAAGGCAGCAACATCTGTGGAAATAATTTCACTCCTCTCAGAAGGGAGAAGGTAATGCACAGTAATTGCAATACTGACAAACAGCAAATCTTTAAAACTGTCAGTAGTCCAGAAATGTGTCACTTAGACCACTGTAATTATGGGAGAAAAGGTGACATTTGGGTCTGGAAAAAGAAACATGCTTGTGGTAGAGTCTTTTTATAGGAAAATGTCACCTGTTTAAAAGCTGTTCAGAATTTTGGCAAGTTAGAAATAATCATGGCTGACATTACTTGGCAAAGAGTGGATGAAAAGATCAAAACTGGATAACATATAAAAGCAACCTGGCCCATGGTTCCATCTTTCAATTTACAATGGCAGCAGCAATGTCAAACACTCCAAATACTGACAACCGACATAGTATGAGCAGGTACAAAAGCAGAGGGAAAGTGCCCAGGGTCAATAAAAAAACCAAAATAAACCCCACACTGGCAATTTGAAGAAGAGACTAATATGTTGGATATTAGGAAGAAATTTTTTACAGAGAGGGTAATCAGGCATTGGAATAGGCTGCCCAGGGAGGTGGTGGATTCTCCATCTCTGGAGGTTTTTGAGATGAGACTGGATGTGGCACTTAGTGCCATGGTCTAGTAACCACAGCAGTGTTGTATCAAGAGTTGGACTTGATGATCTCGGAGGTCCTTTCCAACCCAGTTGATTCTATGTTTCTGTGTTGCACCCAATTAGAAAGATATGTGCATCTGCAAAAATAATATATTATTTGCTTAGTTTTGGTGGAATATTAAATGTTAGCAGCTAAGATTTACTAACATTTACTAAGATTTATGGTTACCTCTGCAGTGTTACTCTTCATCCTTTCCTCTATCATGATGTATTGCGTAAATGAATGCAAGCTTTCATCCTCTGAAAAGCAAGTAAATCCAGACATTATAAAACCTGCATAACACAGAGGTTGAATTTAAATTGGAAGTTTGAACAAAAATTCTTACTTCAGATCTCTTTTTAAGTAACTGTTTTAATAGAATTTTCTGTACACAGTTTCCTAGAATGGCTTTTCTTGTTCATTTCGGTGGGCACGGTCAAGGGAAATATTCTTGAAAGAATTTTTAACCAAAGAACTCTAATATGAATTTCACTTTGCATAGCCACCAGGGTTAGGCTCTGCATATTTAGTACTGACACTGAAACAAGAGGTTTCGAGCTCTAGTAGCCAATCTCAGGAAAAGGCAGTTTTCCCAGAGATGAAGACTGATGAGAGAAGGAAGCCAAAGGAATGAAGCGTTTTAATGAGGTCTCACGCTCCAACCACTTTTGCACTCAGTCCTGATAATTTCTTTTTAGATACTCATCAATTTCGCTGGAATTTTTTTGCCACAATACCAAGTTCAGACTTGGTATACAGAGCCTCAATTGACTCATAGAGTCTGATTATTGGATTTGTGGGTATTTTAATTCTAGTTTACCAATAATGCAAAATTAATCTTAACATCTGGCTGTAGATGCCACACCAGCTCTGGCATGGGAAAGCTTTTTTCCAGTCTTT